TTTTTTTTTTTTTTTTTTTTTTTTTTTTTGGTACCGGAGATCGAACTAGGGTCCTCGTGCTTGTGAGGCAGGCGGCAGAACCACTGAGCTAAATCCCTGTCCCCTAAGGTAGACCTCATGAAAAGTCGCTAAAGCAGGCACATCATATTTTATAAATGCAATGTGATCCATGCATTGCCTTGTTTCTGATCAGTGCTGACCTATACACCGCTTTCTTAAGTCCTAACTGAAGAAACTCCAAGCGAGGTAGGTCTGGTACACACAGGCCAGTTCACACTGCTCATCTGATCCCCATTTCCAAAGTCCTTGCTGTCTCCACCTGATCCTTCCTCTCCTGTCACTTTGCAGAAATCTTTCTCTGCCCCCCTCCAACCTCTCCAGGGCCTAACAAGTACCCGTAACCAACCGCTAGCTGTTTCACAGATCCTCTGTTTTGAAACACACATTCCTCTATTTTAAGAGTTGTTCAAAATCAGTTAGTTCTCGGTCCTTCTCTTACTGTTGACCTAACTTTGAGTAACTGACCACCTTTCTATGGGATACAGCAAATGCAGTCTAAGCTCCCCGCCGGCTTTTCAAGCACCAGAGCACAGACATGTTAGGACGGAAAGACTGGGCTCAACTTGCCTGGAAGTCTCACACTGTGGGAGTGTTATCTAACTTCCTTTATCCTGTACCTCTGTGCTGAAGACAGGCACACCCACGTCACAGAACAGCCACGGACACAATGCTCCCGACCAGCCGAGGGCCCCGGTGCAGGGCACACGTGTGGCACGCTGGTCTCCCTCTCCCCTCACCCATGTGCTCACAGAGCTTTGGTGGCCATCACTTCCTGGAAACAAATCCCATCAGCACCTTACCCAACTCGACAAATGTTTGTGCATCGCTTTCCAGCCGTGCCAAAATCCCTCGCTAGACAGTCTTGCATATTGGCACGACGGCCTCAGGCACTTTTATCTGATGCCCGCTCACCCCACCCTTCTGTCAGTTCCACGCGGACAGAGGAGCACGGCTTCCTAATTCATCCCTGAGCCCTTGAGTAGGCACTGTAGCATCTGACGTAACAGAAATCCAGACAAATCACAAGAACATTCACAGCATCTTTCTCAACACAGGGGCTAAGGATTGAAAATGTTCTGAAAAATCCAATATGCAGTCTGCTTGACTCAAGTGAGGTGAAGCGAAACTAGCGGGAGTAACAGACCGCAAGTGAGAATCCGCAATCTGCAGCCACCCTCAGATGGCCCAGACCAGAGCCAGACAGCAAGTATGGGAACCTGAGCAGGGAGTTTGGAAATGAAAGGGGCAAAGCACGGCCCACACAGCTGCTGCTGAAAACCCCAAGCACCTCTGCAGGGTGTGCGGGGCAGCAGCGGTGCAGCACTGACACCAGCGGGAGGACAAGGACGCGGGGAAGGAGCAAGCTGGGCAGCGGCCGGCCGCCCCACGTCCAATAGAGTGCCGCCCTTGGTAAGGGTGTCTGATGGGACAGCGAAGCTGAACACTCCTCTGAGGTCTACTCAAAGCCAAGGCAGACACACAGATTTCAATTTAACAGAATATGAGAAATCTTTATTATGGTTTCAGATCTAAACAGCGATTACCTTTTCCAGGAGCCATCGTTTGTCAAATTTTGGCATTTTATCAAAAAACACCAATCACCGTAACGGGTGACATTACCTTTCCCCTAAGTACACACTCGCATGACCCAGATGTAAACACTCGCACAGCAGAGGGCCAGTGCTCTCCCAAGGATAAGCTCACCTGACCGATGTTCAGGTCCCAGTGCATCCCCACCACCTACGGCCTCTCTGGTTTTACAGGGCGACTCACCCATCCAGCCCCGCCACTGCTGCCTTTTACACGTGTGAACTTAGCCCTGCGTCATACTTTAACCTTGGCACCCATGGCAAATCTTTCAGAGCTTTTGAGTGACAGCCCACAGTGCCCTAGGGTCACCAGCCCCGGTCTACGGGCAGCAGTGTCACAGGAAAAGGAAGGGAACTGTGTGACCCACGGAAGCGGTCTGTGTAAGGTACCACGGGCTCCTGAGAGAGCAGTCTAACCTGTGTCTAGAGGATGAGGGAGTCCGCCTTCTCCTAGAACGCGATCTTGATCTTGAATGCCTTCTTTTTTCCTCTTTCTTATCTGATTTACAAAGAAAAAATATCTCTGCTTAAAAATCATCCAACAGAATTATCCCACCCAGGAGTTCATCGAGGAGCTTCTTCATCTTAGTTCTCCTCGTTTACACACAGCCTTCAATGTCACAAGTGACTGTTCTACAGCGCACAGTGCTGACTCGCCCAAGTGACACTAATGACCTGGGCTCTTGGTGGGTTCCGAGTCAACCTCAAATTCTCACTAGCTTAAGGTCCTTTCACTGTCTCTCACGTGCCATACTTGGGAGGCAGTGAGGTGTTTTCCATAAGCAAGAAAAAGGGCATCTTTCTCATTCTTTGGTGCTTTCCAATTCATTCTTCAGAAGGTTCTAAATGAGTTATTTTTCCTTTCTCAGGTTCTGTCACATACAGCTACAATTCAGTCAGATTAAGGCTTTATTTTTATCTTCCAGTCAGCACTTAACAAGAAGTACATTCAACATGTAAATTTACAATAAAAAAAAAAAAACATTGAAAATTCTGCAAAATGTTCTTTATCCTGTGTGTGGACATGTGTGCCTATGGGCTTGGGGTGCGGGAGAGAATCTATTTCCTGTCTCCCTGTTTAACTTTACACTCCTACGCTAAATACACCGGACCTATGTTCATGTCAAATGGTTTAATTAACAGACTCAGAGTTTGGTCTCCAAATGCAGAAAGTCGAGATTTATTCACTGTTTCTGCTGTACGATAGCGGCAGAATGTGTTCTTAGGAGCCAGCACTCTTCTTATTCCCTAGCAATTATTAATTATACAAGCGTATGGAACACATCTAGGACAGAATTATTCCTTGTTTCAAAGTGAAAATGAATTCCTCCTTCACTTTTAGGTCTTTTCATCCATGGCATTCAATCTATTATGAATGTTGCTACCAATAATAAATTCACAAACATCTTAAGAAAACACTTTTGTAACAGCCACGGGTTTTCAATAGAGACAGAACCCTCAGGCATCCGAAAGCGCTGGATTACTCAGATCCAGCTGGGTTCCCTGCCATGTGACCACTGGTAGTTATTAAGACATTTTATTAAGAGATATACATAAGGCATTCAGTGTTTTCCCATTAAAATTTGAAGCTATTTTCCTAATACCTTGCATACTAAGAACATTCTCACCCATTAGTAAGAGCAAAAGAGCATTCATTCTTTACTTCTCCATCACAGATGTAAATCCAGACACTGGGTGCACCATGCACTGACCCTCCGCGCCCTCAGTCTGGGGCACAGCTCAGCAGCAAGAGCAGTTGCTCAGAACGCGCAGAGCCCAACTCCCTCCCCAGCGCACCCCAGAGACTATAAAATAGGGTGTCTGCTTTTCTTGATCTCTTGATCTAAAGACAGACTTCTGATTAGGCCGTGCTGTAGGAGACAAAGACCAAACACAACCCTGAACAGCACATCACCTCCTGGCCCCCTGGAGAATGCGCTGTCACGATGCAGACCCAGCAGCATTTGAAAATGTAAGCGTGCTGCCCAATACGCTTCAGTAACAAGGCAAAAACACACTTTTACCTGGTTCTATAGCAGCAGAAATCAGGGACTGTGCTTCTCGTACTCTTTTCATAGCTTCCTCTATCTCTTTACTAGAGGTATCTGATTTCAGACTCGGTGAAACAAGACCGGCAGCTACATGATTCAACCTGAAACAGAACCAAGATCCGAGAATGGAAACTTTGCTACACTTCCAGTAAGTAGGTTTCATGTGACATCACCTTAGTGGAATATTCCTCGATAAAAGGAAAATTCCACAACTTCAGTAAATAATATATAGTGCCAAGTGTGGTAGTGCACCGCTGTAATCCCGGCACTCAGGAAGCCGAGGCAGGAAGACTACTGCATTTGAGGCCAGTCTAGGATACTCAGTGAGTGTACTGAACTACATGGTGAGACCGTCTCAAAAAAACAAAACAAAACAAAAAACCCCCCACAAAAACCCAATTTCATAGCACAGCATCATCTGAATAGCAACTCTAGTGATTCAGAGATATCTGGAATGAAAAATACTTATTTACGTGGTTCTGCCGCCTGCCGCGCAAGCACAAGGGACCGAGTTCAATCCCAGGTACCGAAAAACAAAACAAAGCAAACAAAAATAAAAATAGCTATTTACTTTTAACTTTCCAAAAATTGACATATTCTGAAAATACTAATAAAAAGGAATATGCTGATGCCGAAAGCCTAAGTGAGTTTCCCATCACATGGAAATCTTTTCACATCTCAGTTTGCAGGGGAAAAGCATCACCTCTAAACTGCAGGTGGGGGAAATGCAGTCAGTGTTCAATGGCTGCCAGGTACATAGGAAACCTGCTTGGAAAGGCTACTGATGGTCCTCTGGTGACAGACACACGGGAGACCAGTGCACAGGTACCATTTGTGGGGCCCAGCGAGCCTGCACAGTGCTGGCCATCTGTGAGAAGCAGGGTGACAGGCATAGGTTTTGATTCCAATAATTTTTTAGCTAAAAAGGCCATTAAGTACCAAAGTCAAATGACTCTGTTCTCCACCCCAAGTTCTACCATTTATTGATGTAGGTCCAGGGACTGAACTCGGGACCTTGCACTTTCAAGGCAGGCGGCAGAACCACTAACCTAAATCCCTGGCTGTCTTTCCCATTTACTGAGAGAGACTTTTAGTTTACCAAAAAATAAAAATTCTTGAACTTGTTACACCTCAGGTAGAGAGGATTTCAGATCCGGCATGAAGGAGACTTTATCAAAGCCCCTGAAGCTGTGCTGGCTGCCAATTCCACGCCCATGCACCACTGCTCTGCTCTGCTCTGGCATGCTCCCTTCCCCTCTTCAGCTCCTGGGTCACCCTCAGACTCAGGGTTCCCTGCCCCTGCACTCTCCCAGCAGACCACACACGCATGACTGCAGGCAATGCTTCTCCACTGAAGCACAGACACTGTGCAGGGTGCTGTGTGTACTCAGATGAACAAACCTACAGGAGCTCTACGCTGACACTGGCATCCACTGCTTTCCTTACTTCTGGGATTACCTCCTTGCCTCTAGAAAACAGTACATAATACAGTTCTTGAGAACAGGTAATGTTTTAAACTGTCAAAAGTAAAACTGTTCTCACCAGGCGCGGCAGGGCGTGCCTGTAATCCCAGCAACTGGGAGGCCGAGGCAGAAGGATCACCATGAGTTCAAAGCCAGCCTGGGCTATACAGGGAATAAGATCTTGGCCAAAAAACCACTTTTTTACAAAAAGGAGTAACTTGTCTAAAAACCCACCCACTACAGCACCATGGAAAAACGCTTACTTGGGATCCACGGTGCTCATGAGCTTCAGCAACTGATCTGCGGCAAGAGACTGCAAAAAAAGCAAAACAGCAATGAGAACACAAAAGACAATAAATCACTGCTTGTTTTCTTTTTAGTATATTGAAAGGTCCTGGCACAATCTGCCAAACTTGTAAGAATTAACATGCTCTATGCATAATGCTGACCAGTAAACACCCAATGCAAGCTATGTGTCACTAGATTTCTTAGTAGCCACACTAAACAAACAATACGTGGGTCAGCGGCTACTGTAAAAACAGCAGATTTCACAAGATGCCTAAAAACCCAGGCTCAGCAGTCTGGATTGCAGTATCACGCTTTGCTTACTTCAAGATACTCAGAGGGAAAATAAAATTTTAAGACACACTAAAACAAAACTGAGATTCCTTAGTGGTGTCAGAGCATCTCCAGAAAAGGACTTCAGAAGCTGGACATAGTGGTGGTGCACACCTGTAATCCCAGCACTCAGGAATCTCAAGATGCAGCTCAGCTCAGCCAGGGCACCTTACTGAGACTCTGTCTCCAAAAACAAAAAAGGGTGGGATGAAGCTTAATGTGAAGGCTCTGGAGTACCTACCACCAAGAAAGGTAAGGACTTCAGACAAAAAGCTTACTTAGTTAGAGTTCGATGACAAAAAAACAAAATGAGAAAAGCAAAGCCCACAAGAGTGGGATTTCCGTGAGAGTAAATCATGCACAGCTCCACCCTTTCACAGTTACCCTGCCGCTACGATGTGCTGACACTACGATGTGCTGACGATGGGTCGGGTCCCTAGGACGCCATCTCCTACTTGGAATCCCAAGAGCTAATGGTCTAGTGACCATCTAAGCCACTGTGTAAAAAGTATCACTGGGATACAGCAGCCATCTCCGGCTTGGCATGCAGACGCGCAGCAGTCTTCTACCAAACTGGCCGGGAGCTGAAGGACAGCCAGTCATACCTGAGAGTTCAAGTTTGCTCCAGGAAGCCCCAGTGCAGCAAGGGCAGGGTCCAGAGTGGGAGCTCCCAAAGCAGCCAATGGAACGGCGCCAATCTGTCAAGAGAAGTTCCTTCATTTAAAACTTCCCTCTCGTTTCTCAGGGGCTCAGCACTTATTCTCTGCAAAGGGTCAGAGAGTAACTAAGTTTGCAGGCTTTGGGGTTTCTGTTGCAACCACTCAAATGCACAAATGTACACCACACGGCAGTTCAGAATCAGGCAGAGTAACAGACAAGCAGGCATGGATGCAGCCAAAAGGTGCTTTGCCGGCCTTGCTCTAAGGGATGGTCCAATTTCTTATTCATCAGAGAAGGAAATCAAATTAAGATGGGCTTTTCTCTTCTGAGGCTGCACGCAGAGCCCCAGGGACACTACCAGAGGGTGCCCCCTCCCTATCCGTGCCAGCAGTGGCCCTCACTGGCTCTCAGGGGGTCCTGGTGCCATCTCCGTGAAGAGCTTCCCCAACCCAAGAGATGACCCTTCCACACTTTTTTTTTTGGTGTGGTTTTTTGAGACAGGGTCTCACTATGTAGTTGAGACTGACCTGGAACTCACTACGTAGCCCAGGCTGGTCTCGAACTCACAGCCACCCTCCTGCCTCAGCCTCCCAAGTGCTGGGATTACAGGCATGCGCCACCACGCCCGGCTCTACAGGGACTTCTGCCCCCAAGACGCTTCCTCTACCAAGACTGTGTTCACAGACTCCCCTGGGAACTACCTCCTAATAGACAACACTTCCTTTTATCAACTGTTCCCCGTTCACATTTACCTCAGATTCTGAGTAACCCTAAAAGATAAAAGATGCAAAGCCCGGTAACTAACTTTACAGGCTGTCTTGACTTTCTCCAAATGAACTGTGTTCTAAGTTCACTTAGATTCAGTTAAAAGGCAGCAAATACAAAGCACCATATTTCTTGGAATTTAACTTTTAGTAGAGTTTGTATTTTCTCTATTACTAATACATCACTTTACACAGCAAAATGATGTAGCGATTACTCAGATCCTCATCCCACAGATAAGGAACTAAGGAGTTAGGTGATAAGTCGGACCCACAGGGCCTGGGACTCCAGATCTTTCCAAGGCACTGTACTGCTCACGTCACAGCAAAACCAGTAATTGACTCGGGCAATGTGATGGAAAGGACGCTTTACACTACTCTAGCTGGGGATCTTCACTGAAACCACTGCCACATTATGTACTTGGGCAGGCTTCAGAACCGTGTTATCTGAAATGCCTTCGGGGTTGGGGGCACAGCACTTGCTACCACCTATGGGCCCTCAGTTTGATTCCCGGCACTGCAAAACTTTACTCCATGTTCCCCATACCAAACATTATCTAGAATCCCTCTTTATTTTCAGACTGCCCACTTAATTCAACCCCAAGACAATAGCAAAAGAACAAAGGGCTTGAAGAAAGACAAGGGGCAGGGGAAAACGGCTTCATTTAAGAAACTTCAGTTTCATTTTCTTTTCTGGCTCAACTCTACTTGTTACAATGTGTCCACAATTACAACCCGATTACTCTGAGAGCCAATGCAAAAGCAATATAAGATATTTTAGGATATTTAGAATACTTTTAAAATGCCACATGTTTTTAAGAGGGCCTCTGTACTATGATTACAACACAGCCTTCCACAGTAAGACACACTATGAGTTAGACTCAGAAAAGCACTCCGAAAGCTCAAATATGTTTAGGCGCATCCACAATTCTGTTTCTTTCCACCCTTTCAGAATCCAACAGACAGTACCTGGGTGAGTGGGTTGGGTGTAGGGAGGAGTCCGCCACCAGGCAGAAGACCTGCCACTGCGTTAGCCGGGGCCAACAGAGACAAAGCCTTAGTCTCATCAGGAATGACTCCTGCAGAGAAACATCCGTGCATGAGAACACACTCTTTGGTAAGACAGAAAACACACAAAAACACCCAGAAAATTTCTCCCTGATACACCACCTGAGTTTGTTGAAAGTACTTATGCTCGCTAAAATATAAAGCTTGATCTCTATGATTATTTATCATTAATTTTATGTCAGAATGAAACTTCAATGTGTGAAAATTTGTTTCCTTTTTCTCTACAAATGGTTAAGTTTCTAGAGTAAAAAAAAATAGCACAATACACACTACTTTTTTGTTAACACTGCCAAGATTTCATCACCTGTACTCGATTTTTAAGTCATGAACCAAACGTAAGCAAGCACAGTCGGTTCTCCAGGGGTGTGCTCTCAACTTTCAAAAGCTGTTTTATGAACAACGACTCGTGTCGGCTGCTTCACTATAAAGCACACAGAAAAATCAAGATACACAAGACAAAAAAAAGTTTGATTTAGGGGTTAATAATATGGTACAGTTACTATGATTTTTACACCTACCATACAAATTTTGTAAAACTTGAGAAGAAAAGTATGTAAGGAAATATTGTTGGTATCAAGCGTAGGGCTTTTGCTGACTCATGAAAATGAACATGAATGTTTCTGAAGATCTCTGAATACACACAAGATGTGTTGAGTGAGTGAGAGAGAGAGAGAGAGAGAGAGAAAATAGGTAAAACATGGCACATTCCTTACCTGTACAGTTAAATGCTTTTACATTCCAACATGTGCCATGCTAATCATACCAAAAATGCTACATAGTGTCAGTTCAAAACTAACTTATCTGAACTCCTTAAGCCCAAAGCGACATGTATGTCTGTTTTTAAGGCCTAATTCGTGTATTCAGATAAAAATCTAAGGGTCCTAATGCAAATATATATGTAGACAATTTAAATTCTATCTGACAGCAAAAGCCCTATACAGACGAATGATTAATCTGTTAATGTGCCCAAGCCCCCAAAATGAGAGTTCAATAATACAATTAAACTACATATTTGCAAATACCAGTAGTATTTCTGTAATACATATTAAGAAACTGCATCTCATCGTAAAACATACAATATGTACAGGGCACTTAAGAGAAACTGGATAAGCTGCAGAAGAAAACTGTTGGGTGGTATTTTCAGCAGGGCCTGGTATATAGTTCAGGCTGAACCAGGGAAAAGAACTGTAAAACACAACAACAAAAAAGAAAAACCACTGTTAAATAAAGGTAATGGTTCCTTCCTCCTACACTGAGAAGTGCCGATAACATAAACAATGTACACTACACAGCACTGCTATCTTGCTTGTGCCAGAGCTGTCACAGATTTAGATACCAGGAGTCATGGAGGGGAGGGAGAAGATCATTTATATAAAGGGCATTAATGCATCAACATAACAAACCTACAGAGATTAAGGGGTGATTCTGCATGCAAAATTATGTCTCAAGAGGATACATTAAGCATCAACATCTTACTCAAATTAGTGCATTTGCAACATTTCTGGCAGACTAAATCCTCTTGAATTTACTGAGACACATGATAGAAGATCTGCATCCATTAAAAAAAGATCATGCATCTGATCCTCTGATTAAAAAAAAAGACTACTTAAAAATAAAACTACAATTGAAAAAATAGCAATGAGGCCCCTCACCAGTTAATTTTCATGCGTCAAGAGTATTTTTTTTACTGCTGCTTTGATAGAACCATGAAATACTGCATGAATGTGTAGAAATGAAAGAAAAAGAAACAGACAAAAGAAACAAACATTAACCAAGGAACCTAAAATAACCCCCAAATCCATTACTATTAAGATCTCCTTCCAAATTTTGATATCTGTTTACCAATTTAGACTATTTCTTACCGTAAATTTTGTGTCTATTGCTCTAAAACAGAGGCCAAGAACCAACACCAAAGTGTAAGAGCTAAAACCGCAGTGCATGGTGACAAAGGGAACTGAACACATTCAGTTACTTAATGGAGGCAACATAAATACAGCATATCATACCATGAATTGAATATGGCAAAAATAAATTTTTGAACTAAACATTTCTATAATTCTTACATATACCCAAAACTTCACTTTAAAAACAGATCTTAAAAAAACTTACTATGGCCTAGAACTATGGATAAAAGCCAGTTCTATGATATACTGTATTATGTTCAGGCTTAGGAACTAGATACAGCCAATAAACTTAGCCAATAAAAATTCTTTAACGGCTGACTACAATGTTTTGCACATTACTCACGTGATCTGACCCGTGTTTCCAGGTCTATCATTTATATTTTACTCATCCTAAATTTGAATTCTAAAAATATTTTGTCGGTGGTTAAGTCTTACCCTACAACAAACATACTGACATAAGAGAAAATTTTTAACCAAAAGATAACTAACTCGAAGGCCTTAAAGCTGTGCTCATGTACTTTAACAATATAATGGAAACAGAAGAACTGTTACAATACAGCATGCCTTAACCCACCTCTGAACAGAAGTTAATTTCTTTAGAAAACCAAAGGCAATTTGCCCAACTTTTAGACATTTCACAACCTTATAAGACATAGTGTAAACGTTTACATTTGTATTCAAAGGTCTAAGATAACAACTACAGCGAACAATAACCAGGTTTTGTTTCTACTGACCAGTTCATTAAAGGACGCGTAAAGCATGTGAATCCCGGTCAGTGTATTTAATAAAATGTTAACTTAAAATCCAATAATTTTATCATGTTAATGATTTCTTCAAAATTTATAGTTACCAAAAAGCAAATCAAGTAGCAGTACACTGGGAACGATCAAATTATAAAATATGCCTCAGAAAATTTTACAAAATGGTATTAAATAGAGTTGTCTTGTCACAGTGGCTTTTTTAGATCCAAAAAACCTGCTCAATTTTTTTCTGTCAAATTACTTTAACAGCCTAAAATGTAAAAAGAGAGACAATGTAGTTAACAAATGGTCACACCAGGGAACACTCGGGCACTGGAGTGCTTGCTGGCCTTTAGTTAATGTCTAGAATCCCCTGTCGCTGCAGAGGACCCACTGTTTTCAGTCATCTGGAAGAGTTTTGCATTTGCCTTCTCCACTACAAAAATCACACACACAAATAACAGAGAGAAGAATTTATTATTTAGAGATATTCTAGAAAATATAACAAGAATGAACAAGAAAATCTGGCATAAAAACAAAACACCCAGTGCCCATCTGGCACCTAAACTATAGGAAATCTTCCATTTTCACAAAATTTAAAATCACTGCAACCCTTGGTATACTGGAATTCAATGTGGGATTTCTTTCTTTCTTTTCTTTTTTTTTTTAAAGTTATCAGTGTGAGGAAGCATAATGGGAATACAACCTAGTCATTTAAATAACATCATGCATTTGAAGGTCTGTTAAGTGCACATGGAGTGAATTATTTTACCTTTGGGACTTTTTCACAAAAACTAAGTAGATACATCTCAGAGAGTTACAAATAGGGATATGGTTTTCAAGAACTTAAAAATGCTTTAAAGAAAGCAAAGGGTTAAATATCTTAATTTTAAAAAAGACCCGATGTCTGATTATTAGCATTAAAAGAATGTGCAAGTAAGTATCACGCACTGCAGTATAACAAGGGTTTCAAAATGTTAACCTCAGATTTTAATACGCTACTACCGCTCACTCTGCAGCTATACTGAGGTAGACGGCCACCTTGGGATGCCCACAGAGGTAGTTAAACAAAGCACAAACCTTCAGCATACGGTACGACTATCAAAGCTCTGTCAACGAATACAGTGTTTGTCAGATGCTGTGCCACAACTGCGGAATCTGGATCATGGAACTTAACAAAGCAGACACGAGATGAGACTGGTAAAGGTGAGTCACTAAAAAATACACAACACAAAAGAGAGAATCAGTTAGTTATTGACTGATTGATTGATGGGTACTGGGGATTGAACTCGGGTCCTTGCGCTTGCAAGGCAGGCCACCGAACCGCTGAGCTAAATCCCCAGCCCTAGAGAATCAGTTATGAGTGAAAACAAATGCACAACTTGCAAACCAGCACTTGCACCCATTAATTGCATACAAATTAATTTAACTAGTTTGAAAGAAAATATTTATTGCCCAACGAACTAATGTAGCAAATTATGCAGTAGATAAAAACCTATAATCCCTCTTTAAACTTAAAATTTATCAGGTTAAAAATAGTTCTCTGAAGTCTCAGAATTGAGACCTTAGAAGAATATGTTTTCCATAATAACAACTATTCCTTCAGGTGCTGGGGATTGAACCTAGGGCTTGTAAGTGCTCTGCTGACACCCACCCCCACCCCCAATTCTTAGCCAACAATTTAGTTTTGGCTTAGAAACTTTTCATTAGCCAATTTCTCACAGTAAAAAAGATTTTGAAAAGTGTATCAATTTGATAATCAACTGAGTTTTTTTTTTTAAAGATAGCATCTTGTTACGAACTCCAAATGGGCCTTGAACTTGCCACCCTCCTGCATCAGCCTCTAGAAGTGCATTTTTCCTCATTTAGGACCTAAGAGCTCCTAGGTACCCGAAATAGTCTTTCTGGCTTGGAGCACTTTGAGAATAGAACACTTTTAAGCATAAACAAAATAAGTGCAATTTCAATGAGTGAAGGAGCTATTTTCTTCAGAAAAAAGAGAAGTGGGGTGCAAGCTACAGACAGCAGTGTAAGAAATGCAGGAAGCAGACTTTGAGAAATAATATACAGGGATTCAAATTTCAATTATAAAAACCTCCCTGTGAAAGAGATTAAGTAAAGGCAGGTCTGCTCCCTGACTGCACACCACGCTATCTGAAAGCCAACATCGGAAGGCTGCAGAGAGGGAGGGGTGCAGCCGTCACCTGTGGAGAATAGAAGGGCTGAGCAACTGTCCCTTCCAATTTCCTCGGACAGCCTCACCACGTTCGAGGATCACAGCTTTACTGTGACAAGCTGATTTCACCTTAAGAATCAATAATAAAAAGGGAAACCCTGTAATACATTTTAATGTTATCAGAGCCTCCTCTTTTTTTTTTTTTTGGTACTGGGGATTCAACACAGGACCTTGTGCTTGTGAGGCAGGCAGCGGAACCACTGAGCTAAATCCCCGGCCCCCTAGAACCTAACTTTTGTTAACACATGAGACATGTTCATCTATCTGTACATAAAGTAATTAAGTCAGATTTGGTTACAACAGTTATTCAGACACACAGATATTCACTGAAAACAAAGTTTTTCTTTACTTGGACACTAATGAGAAAAGATTTTTTTAGCATTTTTTGAGGATTAACAGGAGGCTCCCTATAGCCTGAGACACAGACCCATTGGAATTAGAAGGATCTCCCACAGTAAGCCCAGGTCCTAATTCAAGTTCAAGACCAACAATCTGTCCACAAAACACTGAAGCCATCTCTAGACTTACTGCTTAAATGTTTCTGAAAAGACAGTTTTTTTTTTATGTGAGGCACTACTGCTCTAAAATCAAACAATTCTGCACTCAAGTAGTGAAACATTTCTAGTACTGAAGCTGTGGCAGTTTTATTTCTTTTCTGACATCCAAGTTTTTAACCACTAAATTAAAAACCTCGGTCAATGCTACCATCTCATTTTCTTAACACCTAACACAGTGCCTTGGAAATCGCAAGCATTTCTATTTCTTTAAATATAACATATATACACACATATTCTTTAACACTGTTGTTACCTACAAGAAAAAAGATAAAGTTCTTCGATATATAACGAACAGTCAGTCACTAGAAAGCCCTCCTCTGTGCTCGTAATTCACTGCCATTTACTGGGCAATCTTAAAATGACTCAAGTTTTCTACCCACTAACGGCATGGGAATATAACTATTATTTTGGCTACATCAAAACCTGTGGCAGCACAGTTAACATCAGTCACAAATAATCTGAATACTGTACAAAAGATCCTAACTTGGAAAATGTTCCTTTCTCCACTCTGAAAAGATCTCCTTTAAAATGGTTTCATCGTTTTTTTGCTATTTGGCTCCACAATTACATTCCTATGCTTTCTGTTAGAATTTATTTTATGCAACTATCACTTCCAAAAATGTAACTATCTCACTCTGCTGTTAATATGGGTGATGCAGGAAGAGTGAGCAGCTGACAGGGAAAGTTAAGCCCAGTGTTCTTTTCTCCTCTAACTCCAAGAGCTGTACTGTTTCCAAAGGTGCTCAAAGTGTCCTCAGAGAGCTGTTGTGCTACCATCTCCGAGGATGTCCACAAAAAGTTTCAAATACTGGTGTTCATTTAGTAGCCCAGGGAGGGCCAGGGTTTTAGCTCAGCGGTTCGGGGGCCTGCCTTGCAAATGCAAAGACCCGAGTTCAATCCCCAGTACCCCCACCCCAAAAAAGCCCAGGGAATCAGATCCCTTTCTAGGAGGCCCCAATTCTTACTCACAGCTAATCACATGTGAGAACCTCAGGTGCAGGCCACTGATACCAGCCTTTCAACTCCTACCTTCAACCTGCACCAACCATTTCCAAGTGGAGATTTTTGGGCTTGTAAACAAGTTCCTAAGTCACATGTGTGACATAAGGCAACACCCACGTGGAAATTCAATTCTGAGGACTTCACATGACCTCTTCTTTGTTACACAAAGAAAAACAGTGAACGATTTATTGAAACAAAATTTTCTTGAAAGGTGAATTAAATTATTTCCCTTACACTGTTGTTACAAGATCACGCCGAAGTATTTGTGTTTTGTCACAGAAAAGCTACTACTGGCCTTAAATTTATTCAGTGTTTTCAGTTTCTATATAACTGACACGCTTCACTGGGATATTATTTGATAAGCACTGCAGTTATAATCTCCTGCGGGACCCCATTACAACAAAACATTTTATTACTTGAAGAATGACACAACTCATAAATTTTGGCTAAATCAACAAACTCAAGTGGTAAAGGATCAAGCGGTAAAGGAGAGCCACACACTGGGATTCCAATACCAACTCCAACACCGGTAGTTATGTTTGGGCGACAAACAGCTACGCTCATTTCAGTTCACTCATGTGTAAAACAGGGCCAAATAAGGCTTCCGAATTTGTAATGAGCAAGATAAATTTGGAAAGCCCGTATCTTCAGGACAGACACTCAGCATGCTGTTTCCTATATTATGTTCTAGGAACTGAAATCACCAGGACACATTTCTGTACAAGTTAGTAACGTAAAGGACAACAACAGACACTTTCCATGAGTTCCCCGGCTGGCACACTGCTCTGCGAAGACAGAGTATCTACATAAAATTGTATGTCAATAGTTTTGGGCTTAAAGAAGCTTAAAAGATGGATTCAATAATAAAAATAATACAGGAAACCCTGGGCAGTCTGCGATCGAAATGTTTGGTGTAACCCTGGAAAATTTACCCCAAAACAAGCATGAGGAACCAAAGAGCTCAGGAGGTACACATAAGGCACTTGAAAAATGCACTTTAATATGTATTTGAAAATGCTTTCCACCTGCTTAGCAAGTGCAAGGACCCGAGTTCGGACTATCCCCCCACCAAATGCCTTTTAGGGGCTGGGGATTTAGCTCAGTGCAAGGTCCTGAGTTTGATCCCTGGTACCAGAAAGGGACAGGAACATAACAAAAAGCCTTTCAGATGACGTTGATGAACTCGGAAGCCTCACAGGCTACACAAGGGAGGGGGCTGAAGTTAAACTATTTCTGACAGGCCTGACACAAAAGAGGCAAAGCTGTGTCACAGAGGGTAAGGAAGACAGGGCAGGGCACTGTACTTTGATAAACGGTGGCCAGGGAAGGCTTTTCTGGGTAAGGTAACACTTGAGAAATAGTAAAAAGATAACTAGCACCACGGGCATACCTGGGGAGCAAGAAGCTGAGGCTGTTACGAATGCCTCCTTGGGGAATTAAAAACATCCACAATCATAGGAAAAAATGGGGCTGAAATGTGCTCACCCTTTAACTACATGAGTAGAAATTGCTTGGAATGAGAGACCTTTTGGATCTTGGGCACCAAAGCACATCATCTCTCACCAACACTGGAGAGAATCAGGTGAGTTTACCCACAAAGAAATGAAAACAACTTTGAAGAAATAAAAGTAGCCACCTACACTACTTCAAATCTGGAAGCCCACAATGATGGATAATGTAAGGTTGGCTATATTGTAACCTTATACTTTATTTGAAAGAAAATGCTTTATAAGTGGCAACCTGAAAGTAGGGAGGCAAAGAACAAAAATGTGTTAATACAGAAGCTTCTAATACCTGGAAAAAGATTCCTCTGCATGCAGAGCACCCACATCTTTCCTAGATGAACATCTTTCCAGGGGCTGCCCTAGTTGGCCCAACTACAAAGCAAACTGCCAAACTCCTGCCTACCAAGCTACTGACTATGCTTTAGGTACAAAAAATTAACCAGGAAAATGCCAGAACTCGTCTTTGTTAGCTTTTTCCAAGTGCATAAAAAAGATCACCTTGGGCCAGGGATTTAGCTTAGCGGTTCTGCCACCTGCCTTGCAAGCGCAAGGACCGGAGTTCGATCCCCAGTACCAAAACAAAACAAAAAGATCACCTCCACAGAATGAAGCATTTTAAAGTCAGCAACTTTAACGGTGTTCTTAGCAACTTGTGGAACTATAAAAAAAATACAATTAAGTGAAGCATCTCAAATAGCCCAGTAAGAAAATGAACACAAACATAAAAATGTTATCACTCTATTTTGTGCCATTATACTGTTTATTTTACAAGCAACTTAAATGTCACAAGAAAATAACAGCAAAACATGTATTTCTATATGTTCGCATTATGGAAGGTTGTCCATTACCAGAGCAAGTCAGATTTCGGTTCAAAATAAATGTACTTCTTCCCAGAATTCCACAACTCATGCAAACTGATCATACATCCTGAACTGTACATGTACACTTTCCCTAAAAATTAGATACAAGATACCAATTTAAAAACACCAATAGTCATGTGAAAACATTTTAGAGTGGTTTTTTTGGTACTGGGGATCGAACTTGGGTTCTTCCGCTTGGTGAAGCAGGCGGGGCAGAACCAATAAGCTAAATCCCGGGCCCATGTGAAAATATTTTACATAAAAAGTCGTGAAATACGCTGATTATGACTAACTTTGATAAACTGATTTATTGATCAGAAATGTACAGAAAAATCAATGAATACATTACAACAGATTGAGGAGTCTCAATTTCCTGTTGACAATTTCAGTAACATAATTCTCAGCGTGACAGATACTGCATGCTTGACAATACTAGAATTTCCACTAACCTTCCCAAAAGACTGTTATTTCACATCTTCGTTCCAGTATTTTTATACCTGATCTTACTTTAGTTTTTCTGTGCAATTTAAAACGTTTATAATTTCCAGACTGAGTAACACAATAGAAAGTCAAGATTTCAACGTTTTATAAGACACTGTGAAATATCTTATTTTTATATGCACATCAATCAGCCTACCAACTTTTTGTCACCAAAAAATTCTATCAGTACTTGAAAAACTGTTACCCGCCTTCCAAAGACTGCAAACAAAACAAAACAAAACAAAACAACAGTCTCGTCTTTCTCAGAAATGGGATAACGACACAACACGGGAACTACGGGCAGTGCGGCCGCGCCGCGGCCTAGGGCACTCACTCGGGCGGGAAGAGGCGCAGCTCGTCGATCTTGCCCAGGAAGCCGAAGAGCGTCCGCATCTGCTCGGAGCTGGCGCTCGGG